CGACCCCTGCAGACTTCCCAGAGATGCTGCTGTACACTGCCCGCAGGAAGATGCTGATATGGATCGAGGGCTCCATGTTGGGCTTCGTCTTCCTGGCACTGGGGCTCAGCTTCTGCCTGCACAAGAAGGTGAGGGGGGGTCCTGGGGGTCATATCCTCCCTCTCCCGGAACGTGTGTGCTCCCCCAGGGCCCCCAGCCCAGTGTCACCCCCTTTTCTCTGCCCACAGAGCTCCTGAGCCGCTGGCAGCTGCAGCCCATCCCCATGGCTTCAGGCCCAGCCAGCATCCCCCGCTCCATCCCTGGGCTGATTTTGGAGAGGTCGTGTACCCCCCCAGCCCTGCTGTGACTCTGCCCTTGCCCGGCTGCTCCCAGTGTTCCCAGTAAAGCTTCCCAGTTCGCCCCTGTCCCATTTATGGGGGGCAGTGGGGAGGGACTTGGGGAGACCCCATGGGGGTACCCTGTCAGGGACAGATGCTGCCCCAGGTTGGATCAGGACCCCCGTGTGTCCCCCCGATGTGTCACCCTGTTCTGGGGACTCCTTGGGAGACACCAAACTCCAGCAGGGCACCCAGCAAACCCTAAAAAGGGCTGGGACCCCTGAAGCCACCAGGGAAATTTGGGGAGGGGGTGCATGGGTGGTACCTGGACCATGCCAAGAGCCCAGTGCTGCCCCAGCCCAACCTGCCCCGGCTCCATCCTGGCTCCTCCTATGGGATGTGAAGGAATTGGAAAAATGGGGATCCAAGGGTGGGCACTGGGCTCGGGGGGAACAGGAGAAGAGATGGAGGAAGAGGAAACGGGCCAGAGAGGAGAAGGAGGCGGGATGAAGAAGGAGGAGCAAGACTCATCCAAACCCAATATGGGGCTCCCATGCCCCTCTTTTCCCCTGCTCCTCCACCCCTGCCCCACTGCCGACCAATCCACCACCCCACCCCTCCCATCCCCCCTTTCACTCAATTCAAGCAGATGCTGGCAGCTTTCTCCTGGGAACAATTCCTGACTTTGGGAACTTCTGGGGTGCAGTTCTGGAGGGGGACAGCTCTGTCTGGCTTTCCCCTCCCTGCTGTGGCCTCTCAGCTGCCCCCCACACCCTGGGGGTGCTGGGATTTCCCTCCTGGGCACAAGGACGTTCATTCCCTTCCAGGAGCCCAATGCCCGGCTGGGGCTCCAGGCCAGGGGGTCCTTGAGCAGCTGCCCCAGAACCTCTGCCAGGGGCTCCCCAAAGCCCTCAGCAAGCCCCAAGTCCCTGCCAGGAACCCTCAACTCCCTCAAACCCAGCATCCCCCACAGCCCCTGCAAGTTCTCCCCATGGCAGCAGCCATGGCCCACCATGTCCTCACCCATGGCTGTGTCCCCACCATGTTTCCACCCCTGGCATTGTCCCCCACGTCTCCATCTGTGCCCGTGTCCCCCCATGTCCCCATGAATGGCCACGTGTCGCTCTATTAGGAACAGCAAGAAGAACAACACAGACTCTCTTGGGAGTTGATCAGGAGAATTTCTCTCTGGTTTATTAACTCAGGTCTTTTTTATAGACCGATACGTGAAAAGTACAGAGAAGAAACTCTTATTGGCTAGTAAACTACCACATCACCATCACTGGTCAGTGGGGTACACCACCCCTTGACCTTCTCTTGCAAGAAAACAAGGAACAGACAAACAGCACCTGCAAGGCTGTTCTCTATCTCTGAGGATTGTTTTAATTCCTCCCCATGATTTCCCAGGCCACTTTTTCAGGCAAGACTGAGAAAGCTATGTGGCCTGCAATTTCCACAGGCACCGTGCTCTCTATTTCAGAGTTAGCATCCATAATTCCCCCTTTTTGTTTTAAAATAAAAAAGCAGTATTTGTAATCTCCTGCTGGGCCCTTGCAGGAAAGAGAGCAAACACAGCACAAGTGGTCTCCTTCAATAGAAATTGGAATGGACACTGATTTAGAATGATTTTCTGGCTTACGTTTTTGATATTTAAGGATTGTATCTTTGCAAGGACTTGTTGGTTGACTAGTTCAGTGAACTAACATACACCAACAGGGAAGTTTTAAAGAACACTAAAGTGACAAAACTCAAGAACACCCAGATCCAAACCCAGTCTACTCAATTCTACTATGCAAAATCTATAAACTTTTTACAGATCAATCAACAATGCAATTCACGATGCTTTGATTCTCTCCCCCCCCCCCTTAAATATGACTGAGGGACTTGTAGAGTTTACATGGCTGTGGTTAAAAGCTTCCTGAATCTCTGCAGTCAGTGAAGTAAACAGGGAACCTATCTGCAGTGTGGAGATGGTTGTTTCGTCAGGTTCAGGCTGCCGTTGTTGTTCGTCGGGTTTTGCAGCCGTGTTGCTGAGCGGTTTGAAGTTTGCATGGTTTGAGTAAAGCTGACTCCATTGTAAAGTTGTTGCTGCTGTTACTCACTGAAGTTTTTGCCCAGTTATTGTTGTTTCCAGTGGTGGTTGCCATGACAATTGCGTTGCAGTAGCCGGCAGGGGCACTGGCTCTGCTTGTGGACCTGTGTGCCCCCCGCACTGGGCTGGGCATGGAGGGAAGGAACCACGCCTGCCTCTGCCGTGGTGGGCGGTGTCGCTGCCGTCAGGGGGCTGTGCAGAGGCGGTGCGGAGGCCGGAGGGGACACCCCTGATGAGGGCTGCTGCGATGGGTGTCCCGGTGAGGTTCACGCATGCGCGGGTTCGCGGCTGGACGTGGGGGGGCTGAAAGCTGATCTCCCCCCGCCGTGCCAGCGGGCCCTTCGGATGGACACAGGGGGTGTTGCTCCCCCTGCCGCGCCGGCAGGCTGCAGCAGGGGCGTCCATGCTGTCCTTTGCAGCACAGGAGAAAGGAACGCAGAGGGTGCGGGGGGCTGAAGAACACCATCGACAACGAAGGGCCCCCCGCGGCCGCTTGCGGCAGCGCTCGCAGCGCTGGTGAAGGCGCCGCAGACGGAGGCGCGGACGGGGACGGGCAGTCTCCATTCCTGTGTCGCCTCTCTGTTGGCGAGGCTTGCGCGCCCAACTCCGCGGGTGACGGGTTCTTGGTCTCACCCCCCAGTCTCTCATGGTGTACAAAAGAGGCACCCCTGGCTTCCGAATCTTCTATCCCGGCATCACTGTCCTCAGACCGGCACCGCTCCAGCACTTTAAAGAGCACGCCCCAGGTGGCTGCCAAGCTGCACACGCCGGTATCTCCTGCAGCTAACTCAGACCATAGGCGGTCTCCCACTGACAGCCAAATCTCGAGGTTAAAGGCATTATCAAGAGTCACAGTCAAACTTTGCACTTTTACTCACTGGAACAAAGTGCACATAGCATCTTCAGAAATATCGAGTCCCATGCCTGGCAAGGTGTCTTGTCACGCAGAGAAGACAAGCTGATCATTAGTTCAATTGCAGTTCTCCATTGTGAGAACCGTCTATCTTGACAGCCCGCGAATGCAATGATGCAGATGCAGTGGCTTAACCAGGGACTTTAAATTCTAGCTTCGTCAAAATAAGCCGTTCCAAGCCCGCTCACTGGCAGGGCTCCACTATCCCGTTGGTCTAAAAAAACCAGCCCCCTCCAGGGGAGCCCGGGAGATTCTCACTTACCCCTCTGTGGGGGAAGCAGCTGGCTCGTCGACCGCTGGCTGCACTGACCCTCGGGGGGTCACTAGATGCACATCACGTTGGGGTCACCAGCTGTTGCTCTATTAGGAATGGCGAGAAGAACGACAGACTCTCTTGGGAGTTGATCAGGAGAATTTCTCTCTGGTTTATTACCTCAGGTCTTTTTTATAGACCGATACGTGAAAAGTACAGAGAAGAAACTCTTACTGGTTAGTAAACTACCACATCACCTTCATTGGTCAATGGGGTACACCACCCCTCGACCTTCTCTTGCAAGAAAACAAGGAACAGACAAACAGCACCTGCAAGGCTGTTCTCTATCTCTGAGGATTGTTTTAATTCCTCCTTATGAATTCCCAGGCAAGACTGAGAAAACTATGTGGCCTGCAATTTCCACAAGCACCGTGCTCTCTATTTCAGAGTTAGCATCCATAGTCATGTCCCTGTCCATGTCTATGTCACTCTCCATGTCCCACCATGTCTATGTCCCTCAATGTTCTCACCCATGTCTTAATTCAATGTCTTTATTTTTACCCCAAAATTAGATATTTTAAAGGAAAGAAGAGAAATGAAAAGAAAATCAAGGCCAAAACAAAAGGATTTCTTTGTGCTGGCTGAGCATCCTTGTGATTGAGTGGGAGGGAAGAAGGGGGGGAGGGGTTTCCACACCACTGTCTCCAAAACCTTGATCTTTGCCCCACTTCATAACCATTTGGCTGTGGAAGACACCCTTGGGCAATAGGAAATCAAAACTGTGCAATCAGTGAGGTTGGAAAAGACCTCCAAGACCATCCAGTATTCCTTGATGCCACCAGAAGATAAGATTGAATGCAAAAGATTTTCTGGGATTGAAAGTCAACAAATCTGCCCCCCACAAGGAATTCCCATTGTTGGTCTGTGTCCCAGTGTTGTTCCTGTCCCGGTGTTCATCCAGGTGCCCACAGGGAGCCAGGAAGATGTGGAGCCTCCCAGACAGGTGTCTTCCCAACACAGATCACCAGGACCACGGATCACCAGGGCTCTGCCCAACGGGGGTCACTGGGGATCATCCAACGCCCATCCTCCCATGGGGGAATGGAGCTGGAGCAGCGCACGAAGCTCTTCCCGCACTCGGGGCACTCGCAGGGCTTCCCTTACTGGTGCCTCCGTTGGTGTCGGGTCAAGTGAGAGCTCCTGGAGAAGCTCTTCCCACACTGGGGACACTCGTAGGGCCTCTCCCCAGTGTGGATGCGCCGGTGACTGACAAGGGTGGAGTTGCGGTTGAAGCTCATCCCGCAGTCGGGGCAGCGGAAGGGCCTCTCATCTGTGTGAATCCGCTCATGTAGGAGGACACTGGAGCTGGTCTGAAACCTCTTCCCACACTGGGGACACTCGTAGGGCCTCTCCCCAGTGTGGATGCGATGGTGTTTCCTCAAGTCAGAGCTCCACCCAAAGCTCTTCCCACATTCCAAGCAGGTGTAGGGTCGTTCCCCTGTGTGGATCACCTGGTGTTTCATCAGGTCAGAGGTACTTCTGAAGCTCTTCCCACATTTCCCACACTCATAGGGCTTTTCCCCAGTGTGGATCCTCTGGTGTTTCTTCAGGTCGGAGCTCCGGCTGAAGCTCTTCCCACATTCCAAGCACTTGTGGGGCTTCTCCCCACCATGAGGTTTCACCCCCAGCTCTGAACTCCGGCTGGATCTCTGGCCGTGTTCCTGGCACTTGGGGGATCTTTCCTCCTTGCAGCTCCCTGGACTGAGTTTGCAGCCCCTCCTTGTGCGGCATCTCCAGGGCTTTTCCTCTTCCTGCTCCATCTGGACATGGTTTGGTCACGTAAAATTCCTGTTTGGGGGAAAATAAACAACAAGAGAGTCCCTTGGGCTGGGGTTTCCTCCTTGCCCAAGTTCATCTCAGAAAGTCATTGGTCATCTTTTGTCTGTAAGAATCTCTAAAACACCAACATTCAGACCAAACAAGAAAACACTGATTGTGTTTTCCAAAAACTAATCAAACAAGATTCAGCCAAAACCCCCTCCAGAACAGAAAGGTTCAGCCCTCACAAGAAATCAAAGCACCAACATTTAGCCCAATAAAGCTTAGAAACACCAAGATTCAGCCCCAAGAAAATCGTGGATCCCCCTCCCCAGTCACCCGCTGCACGTGGGGAGGCAACATTCCTGGGGTGGGGGAGCTGAAGATTCAGGGATGAACTTGGTGCTGCTTCCTCTTCCTACTCCTCCTCGTCCTGAGTCCCTGCTCTA